GACGCGACCGGTGTGTAGTCGGTCACTTATTTATCTTGCCATCGTAAGTCGCTGCTCGGAGTGGTTGGGCGCTTGGATGCGACGTTCGGTCAGAGCAGTTTGGTCGAAGAGGCGGTCACGGGGCTGGTGCCGAGCTGGCCTCGCGCGAATCGGAGAATCGGCACTTCTTCCGAGGCCCCGGGCAAGGGGGCCTCGACGAGGGGGCCTCGGCGAGGCGGTCTCGGGCGAGTCGGAGAATCGTTCGCTTCCGCTGGGGCTCGGCGACGGGGTCTCGGGCGAATCGGAGATTTCGGCTGAGACCTCGTTTGTTTATTCCGTTGGCTCTGTTCTTAGGGTCTGAGCAGTTTTTCGATCTTTGCTTGGGGTACCCCATTTTCTGGTATCCGACATGATTGTTCAGATTTGAACCAAAATACCTATGTTGAGCTTCTTTGGGCCTAATACTCGCATGACAGCTCAAATAGTCGTGTTCCCCAACGGGTAACGGGAACGGGTAAACAGGGAACGTTCCCGTACCCGTTATACCCATCGGGGATGGATTTTTGCCCATTTAGATGCCCGCGGGTAAAGATATGATCCCATCCCCACCCCCTAATGGATCAAATACCCGTCGGGTATCGGGCCCCATTGCCATCTTTAGGTGCAATGCTAAAGAAGGTTTTGTAGCTCCAAACTCAAAGTAGGAAAGGTAACTGAGAGGCAAAGAGGAGTGATAGTCGGACAACGGAGGAAGAGTGAGATATGGAAGAAAATATTTGAATTTTAATATAGATATAGATATAGATATGGACTGCTCTAAAATAACTATAATAATTTAGAGATAAACGACGAAGAAAGAGTAAAAGGTGGTAGAATTTTTAATATTAAATAAAGATATGTACACATAATTAGTTTATTTATAATTTTTTTATATATTATATAAATAAATATAAATATAGATATAGATAGATTTAGTGTGGCCATTCTAGATTTGTATCTAGTCGGGTACAGCCGAGGAGAAGGCAAGGCAAACGTAAGCTGCTGACGCTAGCAGTACGTGCATGTTTGCGAAAGTCAGAGGCCTGACTGTCGGCCTGTCGGGCCGGCCGACCAAGGTCCTCCTCGGCCGTCGCCACGCACGCGTGGTCGGTGCACGACAGGACGCAGAGTGCCCCACGCAACATCTCTTGCTCTACGAATTCTGCACCAGAAGCCGGGATACTGGATCGTGCCACGTCGCCCGTTAGTCTTCTGGCCGTCCGATCGGGCGAGGACACAAGCTGAACCGTCCGATCCGAGCCTAGCGGGTCAGTCACCCGTTAAGCCGCGAACCCAATCGGTCGCGAAACATCACGAACCGCCGCGCCGCCGTCCGCCATCGCCGTCTGCCACCCCCTCCGCCGGGCGCCGGCCTGCTCACGCGCTGCCAGTTCGTGCCCCCTCCACGACCGTACTCCCCTAAGGCGCCACCTCGGCGGCGGCACGCGGTCCCCATGTGGCGGCGCACCAGCCCAGCATGGGTGGCCTCGGCGACGGGACGACACACCAGCGCCGGCAGCCCCCAGCGCGGGAGGCCCCCGACAGAGGTGATAGGTGAACCCCAGTACGAATGCCCTCCTCCCCCGGCGCGACAGCGGCGTGGACCCAGCCACGCATCGGACGGCCTCACGCGTCGGCGTACCACTACCAGCGTGGGAGGCCCCTAGCAGGCAAGCCACCGGCACGGACAGGCCGGCGCGCGACGGCCTAGGCACGAGCGGACACCGCTCCTGCTCCTTGGCCTGAGATGACCGACGCGGCCGCCTCAGAGTCGTATCACGAGGACCAGGGTGCTCCACCAGTGCCCGTTCTTCACCTTAGCCAGAGGTCATGCCCACGGCGAGCTTTGCTCTTATGTATTCGAGAAAAAAAAATCCCTCCTATATTTAGCTCCTTCAAAGGGTTGCGCACCCCTTTGAATGCTTCTTGATGTCGATCTACGGCGGGTTTGCTCCTTCGTTAGATGAACAGTACAAGCTAATAAGAACTTACACATTTGTACTAATCCACGCAGGAACTTGAGAAAATTGTAGGAAAATAATTATATATCCAAATAATATGAAATTAATTTTGTTAGATTCATAACTTTATCCTCTACCGATGGAAAATATGTTTGTATATGTCACTCTAGCCAAAATTTATTTATTTATTATAATGTACGGAACTTGATAGCTTTTATCTGCATCTAGGTTACAGAATTAACTTCTAGCTTAACTCCTAGAAGTTTGCTTTCCCTGTCAAATGATGCTAGCTTTTATCTGCATCTAAAAATTGATTGCTCCTTGGTGTGATCACACGTGAATGATTATTTTTGCCTATGCAATTTTGTGCTTAAGGCATCATGTGTCAGACCAAAGAACTTGTATTATGACCCCTTTGTCAGTTATATTCTATACGGCAAGCGGCTCAGGGCGATCGAGGGAGTGCGATGACCTGGGGTTCACCGGCCTTGGCCTCGGCCTCTGCTCCAATTGCAACGCAATGAAGCTACGATATGGATTTATGGGATTTGTGGAGAGGCTTTTATGAACCTGTGCTGATTGGACTATAAAATTTGAGGTTTGCCCTTAGCGCATAAGTTGTAGATAAGGTGCTGCTGGTTATGCATTATCCTCACTGTTTCGGTCTATCATTTTTGCTAGCCCCCCTAGTAGCACTTAGAATTATCCAGATGCTGCAAGGCCTTAATCTCGTTTCTATAAAATCCGAGTAATGTTGTTCTTGAAGACAGAGTGGAAGAGCTGAAGCTAGCTACCACACATTAGAATGGATTGGAAATATCATTCATGTCACATATTTCTCCCATTTAGATTTTTTTATCTGTGCTTTACACTTACAAATTCATCTGTTTTGCTAATTGAAATTTGTGCATGATTCATTCTGGAAAAATCCATTGGACCTGTGTACCCTCTTCCAAGTTTATGGCGCCTTCTTTTTTCCACATACAGTTTGGATATAGTTACTAACATGTGACATCTGGTGCGTTCAAGCACTAATGCTTTCTTAAGGGTTGAACAAAAAAGAGTACCTTCTTCTTTAACTTTGTTCATGGATCATAAGCATTGAATTAAGTAGTCCTATTATTTTTAGAGTTAAATCTTACTCCAATCTATAAAAAAATAGGTTCTGTTAATTTATCATTCACCTTATCAAAAGTTTAAGACTCTTAATTCCAGGACTAGATGGCTCGTGTACGTACTAAAATCAGAGAATTATTTTTTCACATTTTTACCACTACTCTTGAACAATTTGTTTGCATAACAGAGTACAATACAAAGGATATCATGCTGCCATAAACAAGCCATCTTATATACATTTCACGTCCTAATTGTAGTATAAAGTTTCCAACCCTAAGTTCGAGAAATTCTTTGTTCATATTCTCTTGATCAATGATATTGAGACAACACAAATTCCCATGGAATGATCAGCTATTCCATTACAGGCACCACTACATTGGCGGCTCAATCCTCATTTTGGGGAAGCTACATATATATTTTTCTCTCTTCATATGGTTCAAATGGAGCTCTATTTGTGCCACTCCATTGGCAGCCCAGCTCAAATAGATTTACCTTTCATTCTTCTCATTAAACTGATGCTTCCAGCTGTTCTTAATTTCAGGAATTAAATCTCCTAAAGAGCATCTTATGTTCCACTTACCCTTTCAAAGTGCACAGAGTACTATTTGCATTTCTTTTCTTTTTTTTGAAAAAAACTATTTGCATTTCTATTACAAGAAATGCAGCTACAACCTACAAATTGGATTTCTGTGTATCATGGAGATCATTAAACGCCAGCCACAATCTGAACACCACTTTAGGAGTGACTCTATTACAGCTGCCAACATTATTAGCTTCCAGTGTTGTTGCATATTGTAGCACATCAGTACATCAACTTGCAAATCTTTAGTTACTTATGTTCCTCCTATATGTCAAAAAATTTGGAGCTCATGTCCTCAAGTCCGCATCGATCTCATCCAAGCCACATCAAACGAAGACTAAAAAATTTAATCATTTTGTTCTCCTGGCTAGCTAGCTGATCAGGAAGGGCGTGGCAAAGCCGCGCCTAGTTTTCTAATACGTACGGAGTACGTGCATGCGCCCCGCGGTGCGGCATTCATTACCTACGACTCCGTCAACCCGTCATGGGCTGCACATTTCTGACATGTTATTAAGTCAAAACATTTTAAATTTCATCAAATTTATATAAAACTATCAAAATTTATGTTACCAAATAAGTATTATCAATTTTTTTATTGAAATACATTTTAATAGTATCTCTATTTGGTATCATAATTGTTGATATTTTTCTATAAAATTTAGTTAAACTTTAGATAGTTTGATTAAAAAGAAAAACTAAAATTACATCTTCTTTCAGGATAGAGGTAGTACTCTATATATTCTTTTTGAACTTTTTTACTATGGTTGAGGAGGCGTCAGGAAGCGTTAGCTGTGTCAATGATTGGTGGGTCCATATGAGGGAAGGCGTTGAGAGGCGTCTATGAGGGAGGCGTCGGGAAGCGTTGGATGTGTCTATGGTCGGTGGGTCCATATGCGTCGTAACGCCTCCAAAGTTAAGAGGATTGGGACTTCGAATAAAAGAGTGGTAATTTCTTTTTCGTAGTTATTTTTTTAATCAAGGGTAAAATGGTAAATCCACAATTATAAAAATAATATTTTGAGTAGTACAGTGAATATTTGGTTTTAAAAAAAAGATGAATATTTTTGTCAAGTTCATTCGCCGCCGTCTCTGTGTTTTCCGTCTCTATGCCGCCGCCGTCCGCAGCCATGATCACGGCGCTGACCCTGTACCACGTGCTGATGGCGGTGGTGCGGCTGTACATAGCCATGACGCTAGCCTACGGTTCCGTCCGCTAGTGGCGGATCTTCACCCCCGACCAGTGCTCGGGGATCAACTGCTTCGTGGCGCTCTTCGCCGTCCCGCTCCTCTCCTTCCACTTCATCTCCACCAACAGCCACTTCACCATGAACCTGTGCTTCCTCGTCGCCGACACGCTGCAGAAGCTCGCCGTCCTCTTCCTCCTCTTCCTCACCTCCCGCCTTTCCTCTTCTCACTTCCTCGGCTTCGACTGGAGCATCACGCTCTTCTCCCTCTCCATGCTCCCCAACACGCTCGTCATGGGCATCCCGCTGCTCCGCGGCATGTACGGCGGCGGAGCCGCGTCCTCGTCCTCCGCCTCCACCGGCCTTGGCGCACTCATGGTCCAGGTCGTGCGTCCTCCGGTCATCATCATCTGGTACACGCTCATGCTCTTCCTCTTGAGTACCGCGCCATGCGCGCTTCGTTGCTCGACCAGTTCCCCAGACGGTGCTGCCGTCTCCATCGTCTCCTTCGCGCCGACTCCCATCGTCGTCTCGCTTCCGCCAGGCGAGATCGAGCTTCGAGGCCGACGCCGTCCCATCGCCGCCAGCGCCTCCTCATGGCGCGGCGACACACCGGACAAAAATCTGGGTCACCGTCGCGCAAATCCACCAGCTCACGCTCCGAGGCGGCGTGCTCGCCTCCCACTCCCACTCGCAGTCCATGCAGCCCCGGGTCTCCAACCTCTCCGGCGTCGAGATCTACTCGCTACAGTCGTCGTCGCAAGCGCAACCCACCTCAGCTCTCCAGCTTCAACCACGCCGACTTCTTCAACATCGTCGGCGCCGGTGCCAAGGGAGGAGGAGGAGCGGCGGCGGCGGGGGACGAGGAGAAGGGTGCTGGCGGGCACTCGCCGCAGCCGCAGGCCGTGGCCATGGCGGCCAAGAGGAAGGATCTGCACATGCTCGTCTGGAGCTCCAGCGCCGCCGTGCACGTCTTCGGGTCCGGGGCCGACGACCATGCCGACGTCCTCGCCAAAGGTAACTTTTTTTTCCAGTCACCACTTGCACTTGGTGTGACGATATTGCCCTTGATGAATAAAAATCAACAAAAATAACTATTTTGGGTAGACATCCTAAAGCGTTAGGAAGCGTTTCTAACCATTGTAAAAGGGCTCATTCTTTTTATCCCAAAAAGTTTAATGCCCTGCTGGAGATTTTCAAGACAGACTAGTAAAGGAGAGAAATGATCTTAATACCCCTGTTTTCAGACATTAAAAAGAGGAATGTCGCATGGTTAAGTTTTGTAATAAACTGGGTTGCGTGGAGGCATATAAAGATACTGCCATGGCAACGAAAAGCTAGCGCATGTCGGTTTGAATTTTGGCGCCATGCTAAGTTTTTTTATCCATATAAAACATTAGCGCCAAGTCCAATTACCCATACACTAATCCACCTGCGGCAAAAGCAAAATCCTCTGGTGGTTTCTTCATTACAAACTTCATGAATTCCTCACACGTTGCTACGAGATATTTCTATGGGTAACAGCTACGGACGGATGTGCACAATGTATGGATAAATAAAAAAATACCGAAGATATTGATAGTAAGATGGAACTAAAGTTTACCAAATATTGAATGATATGCTAATTTGATAAGTATAAAGTACTTGATCCCAGTGATGTATTACTCCTAAGGGAATTCAGTCAAATTGGTAAGTCATACCATAAGATTAAGCTAAAGGTGCATCTGCATGATTTAAGTAGTGAACTTTACAATTTGGAAGAGATGACCTGTTAAAAAATGATAATTGTAGAGCGCAGCAGTGGATATTGGATATAGGAGTATATACCTCACTAGCAATATTTTTGTGCTTTAAATCGATAGAATGGAGATGTCATTATTTAACAGTTGCATCTACTTGCTTAGGATAACACCATGATGTGTGCTGGCTCCTGCCCTACCTTCGCCCCCTCGTGCTACTGTTGGTCTGATACCCCATCCTTGGTCTGAGGCCGATGGCCCGCTGAGGTGCTTGGGACGGCCCCCTAGTTATAGATGGCCATAAGGCCCGTGGCCTGTAGGCACAACCCATTGCTTGTTGTTTTGGCCTGGCCAGGCATGGCCTAGCCTGACTGTTATGGGGCCCATGCTAGCCCGACCTGACTCTAGGGCCATGCTTGGCCTTTGCCTCGACACAGCCCACACCTTTACTTCTCATATAAATAAATATATCAAAACCCAAACTCACTCCTCCCTACTCCATTCGCCGCAACCCTCTTCCCGCAGTCCCCAACCGTCCTTGCCCCCTACTCTGACTGTGTTGCTCTAGTTTCCCCACCACCGCCACATGCCTCTTTCCGATTGATTCCTTCTCCTTCCCGACCACATCGCATGCCCTCTTTCCTGATTGAGTACTCCTCCTTCCTAATTCACCTTTGCTCCTCAGCTCTAACGTACCTAACACCAATGACACAAGCGGCCCTCCATCCCTTCTCCCCCATTGCTTCTCGGAAGACACAACTAGGCACTAGTGTAGGCGGTGGGTGGCCACAGCCCTATGGGTGATGAAAATAACTCTAGCTCCAACGACGGTGCTCCTCTTCTCCACCTGTGCGGGTAACGGCGGCCTGATGGTGCAGGGGTAGGGCATGTCGGGCCCAGCATGACATGGCACAAAGAGCTAAGAGGCCGTGTCAGCCCAATCCCCATCATGCTATGCTGGGTCGGGCAGCCCATTTGGCCATCTATAGCCCTAGCCGCACCGTGCGAGATTTTGTCGCTGATGGGCCCAGTGTCTTTCCATAAGGGATGCCTCTTGTCAAAGCTTCTCTCATCGGTGCCAGAGTCATATGGGTCCTCTTGGGCGTCCAACCCACTATGCTACCGCTCGCTCAACTCAGCACAGTCGATCTCGATGCCAATGGTTGGGAAGCTAACAACGATAGGAAGACACCACAACCGCAAGTGCTAGAGGAAGCAACTAATTTGAAGAAGGCGACAATTGTGGGGGCCAGGAAGGTCATTGGGAAACAGGAAGATGTGGACCAGCTACGGCGTGTGGATGAGGCAGCAGGAAAGGCCAAGATAGTTGCTGCAGAGGTGAGGGATTGTTAATGCATCAACCCTACTGTGTGGTGGGCAGCTAATAAGGACATGCCATCTGTTCGGCTGCGCAATGGCAAACAAAGCGATGGGTTGATTGGTGGGTGGGAGGAACAACCAATGGAGCAACGAACGGATCTAGTTGATAGATCTAATCAGATGGATTGGGTTAAGTGATAACATGGATCATTGTGGGATCGGATAAACCCTCTAGTGGAATTTTTATTTATAAGAGATATAGATATTAACGCCATGTCTAATTACCATTACACAAACGCCCTTGCGCCAAAAATAAATCCTTTAGCGGCAATAACTTTTCATTTCACGGCCTATATAGCAAGTACCGATGCAGCGTTTTTCAGTTGTTGTTGCCATCCTATAATCACAACAAATGAAGGGATCAAATCCATGGTCATAGATCTCAACCAATACCCACAAGAGGGGGATGGAGATGCATTACCTAATTTCAATAATCCTACTCTAGATCAAGATGAAGTCCATGAAGATGAACATGCTAGCTGTAGGTGGTGTTCAGGGAGGTGGCAATCAGGTTTCCCATACTTTTGATCTCAACGGTGAAGTTGTAGAGGAAGATGAATAATTCCATCTAGGTATTTACTTTCTCATTGCAATACTACAGTAGCATTGCAAATATCATTAAATCAAACTTGTCGATCTAGGATTAGTATTTTCCAATTCAAACTTTTATCAATGATAGTATACATATATCAACATTTTAGATTCAATTCTGTAGTGAGTGTGGGTCATGATGAACAAGACAGACAGCCAGTTCTCAACCAAATTTGACATCCGAACTCAATAGTGCAACCAAGGATGAAGTCCATGGATGTACAGTTTTCCAACACCACATATATTATTGATCAGATGATAAATAGTTTAATTGCATAACAATAGTTTAAGATTAAAATCCTACACTAATCATCATAAATAACTCATCAAGAGTATTTGTTTCCCACAAAACTTGGAGGACTATGCATGTATGATGATGCTATTGATATAGACTTTGATCAAGGGGAATCCTCAGACTCGGATGACAAATAATATGAGAATGATATTGAATATGTACCTTATAATGTTTTGAAAGGGAAATAACGACAATAGATATATGAAGCTTTGCTTGAGATAAGCAAGTGTGGGAAATTACCTAAGCAAGCCACACATTGGGTTGCTAAAAAGTTTAAAGTTAGAAGGCAAAAAGTGCAGCATGTTTGGTATAGTGCTAAAAAGTGCCATGCCTTGGGATTACCAATCGGTGTTACATCCAGGAAACCAAAGAATTCTAGGAGAAAAATGTTGAAGTAGGCCTCTCGTAGGTCACTAATATTCCCTTTGAAGGACTACTATACAGTCTCTAGTAGTAGCCATAGGTGTACGTAAGAGAAGCACATTACACATGTGGTTTAAATATGGTAAGCTAAGATGGCACTCTAACCCACTTAAGCCTTACATGAAGGAAGCAAACAAAAAAGAATGGTTGCAATGGTGTATGTCCATGTTAGACCAGTGTACTTTGCCACATGATCCCATCTTTATTGATATGCAAAAAACATTATCCACACTTAAATCAGAAGTGGTTCAATGGTACAAAAAATGATACAAGTTTTTACTTTCTACCGACAGAGTGTCGACCCATACAAGACAATCCAAAACAAGATGTGATTCAGAAGGATATGTTTTTGTCAACCGTTTGTAGGACTTTGTTTGGTGATGAATGTACATGCATCTTTGATGGAGAGTTAGACATGTGGACAGTGGAATTTTGTAAGAAAGGTAGCACACCTTTTTTTCATCTTTCAATCCATTCATTTCTGAAACTAACTTGTCTCCATATACTACTACTAGGAACCAACAAAAAGGAGAAGTGACAATATAGAAAGAGGGACTCTATAAACCAAGAATATCAAGGTTGATCAAGAAGAGCACCATGAGAGCTTATATGATCTCCAAACTTTTGCCAGCTATAAGAGACAAATGACCAAGAGAGGTGCACCACAAGACCATTTGGATCCAACAAGCTAATGGTAGAACACATGTCTCTGAGTCAATGATCTAGAATTTGCTATTGCTGTTGCACAAACAAGATAATGCTAGAACACATGCCTGTCAAGATATCTTTGATGCTATTTGCCTGATGGTTGACTGACAGAAACAATATTCCTATGGGCTTTGTCTATTTCCTTGATGGTTTTTGGTACACAGGAAAATTTTGGTTTCTAGTAGTGAGATATACACCTCATAAATCAGCCCCCTAATTCCCCAAATACAAACTACCTAGACCTTGGGTTCTTTGCATCTCTTTAGTCATTAGCTAATAGAATGACATCTAAACTATGGATGAGCTAGATGCAAATGTGGAAAAAGAATATGCTGAGTACAATCTAGTTGTGCTTAATATATATAGTGCTCCTCACAAGGGATGCTCGATTGAATTCATGAATTATAAAGGGCAATATGTACAAGCTTCCATACATGAATAAGAAAAGGCTAGATGCACTAGAGATTCTACCTAAATATCTTAGCTGGGACCATCAAATGTATGAGTGTGTCATCGAGTACTTGGCCACTAAAAACTCATGAAACATCATACTATCATTTTTGAATAATTGTAATATAAACAAGTTACTTATTTTGAACAATTGTACTATCTCTATATCTATATATGAAATGCATGTTGGTTCAAGTAAGCTTATACATTCTCTATGAAGAAACAAATACTCCTAAGGTTTAGTATTTTTATGAGCCTTTGCATATAAAGGAACAAGGGCACATAGCATGTCTATCACCAAAGCTTTCTACTTGGGATTGTCCTCCAGCTCTGAACTAGGGTACTTTGCATGTTCATTTAGGCCCTCATCATCCATCTCCACGTCTAAAATTGACACATCCTTGTTGGTTGCTAGTGCTTGATCATCCTTGTTACTAGGTGTCGGGGACCTAATACCGGGGTACCCCAGAAGGTGGAACCAATAACCACCGAACGTTAAAAACTTCTG